CCTCCCCGCCCCGCAGAACCGGCGGGACCCCCCGCGATGCGGAACAGCGCGGCGGCGGGACCGGCGGGTGTCACCTCCTGAGGCTGCGCGGTCGGCGGGAGAATGCAGCAGGCGGGGGGGGAGATGGGCACCGGCGACAAGGTAACGGGCTCGGTTCCGTCTCGTTTTCCTCCGGGGGCGAAACGAACAGGCGGGCAGCCCCCTCCCTCAACACCCCCCACCGGGGGGCCCCTGTTTCGGGGGGGGGGGGCGCGGGGACCGGGAGCGGTGACAGCCCCCCGGGGGGGGGACACGACCCGTTCCCAGCCGTTTGCGGTACCCCCGGGCGGGCGACCGCCTTAGTCGGAACGGAGGGGGGGGGAGACGTCGGCTGGCCGTCAGCGGGGGCGTTTTACCGTCACTTCCATTTCTAACCTTAACAAAAGTACCGAAATCTTCACCTGGAGACCCTTCTGCACCGGTCTGGTGACGGGCGGTAACTTCTTCCCGGCTCCCCGGTTGCTTTTTTCCTTAATAAAAAGGTGTCTCAGTCGTTCTGTACAGCTTTCTGCTGTGGATTAACGTCCACTCTGTCTTTTCCCTAGAGGGAAAGAAAAGGAAAATTACCCTAAGAAGACCACGGGCCCCGGGCCTCAACCCGAAGGCACCGTCAAAGAAACGGTTTCAGGGAGCAGGTTCGCTGGTTCAGGGTTAAAACTGCAAACTTTGACTTCGAGCGACCCAAAAAACGCAGCGGATCTCTATCCCGCTTTGCCTGTTACCAACAGACGGATCGCAGTGCTTCTGGTTTTTAACATCACAGTTTTTCTTTTTCTTGGTGCGTAGGAAAATCATTCTTCCGAGCCACACAGAAGCGTGTTGAAAACCCCTCTGAAACAAGCAGCTACCTCACGTTCCGCGTTGACAGAGATCCAGCCTGACTGTCAGCCGCTAACCACACCCCCAAAACCTAAAGAAATCCTTCCAGCAGATCCATGGACGCCTACTTCGAACCTGAAAATGCTGATTAGCGCGGCTAGTCCTGAGATCAGGAGCAGAGAACAGAGAAGGGAACTGTCAGACAACTCAAGGGAGGTCCTACAGGCGAAACACTGTTTGCAGGTATGTTGTAAAGGTGTCCTCTTTATTTACTTTTTTTTAAAGTTAGCTGAAGGTTGTTTATTCAGTATAAAAAGTTATACATTAACATACTGCAACTTTTTTAAAGTTTTGGTTTTGGAGTGTTTACCAAATATAAGTAAGGATATTGTCTAGTTACATGCAACAGGTAATGTTTTGCTGGTTTTATTTCACAGCTGTTGGGGACAAAGGGAGAACACTGGGCCTTTGACAGTGCTCACAGTGAAGCTGTTAAATACCTGTGTTTACCTATTGTCAAAAATTTCAAATTCTCTTTTTCTTATTCCTGTGTAGGAGCACTTATCGGGAGATGAATATGAAAAATCTCAACCAAGTCGCAAAGAGAAAAGTCTAGGATTACTGTGTCATAAATTCTTAGCTCGATATCCTGATTACCCCAGCACTGCAGAGAATAATTACATTTGCCTTGATGAAGTAGCTGAAGAGCTTAGTAAGTTGGTGTATAGGCTGTTACATAGTTCTTCATTCAAATGTGCCAATAACCTACCATTTGTGTTAGTACGTTTTTGCCCTGTAAAATTTTGAATGCTTGCTGTGTACTCTAAAACTTATTTAAACCCGGCTTTAAACTCTTCATTCTTAGAGCAATTCTTTTAAAAAGCTAAAGTTTCTTCAGTGAACTGAATTGAGAAACTCTGAATTTTGTTTAATATTAAACATTTAAATTATTGCCAACACCACAAATAACAAGCTGCAGGTTTTTGGATCTAGAGATGATAGCTAGGATTAGGGGTTGGATTTTTGTGGCAGGAACTGGAGTGTCTCAAGCTGAACCCACAACTTCCTGTCCAATCAAGACATCAAACCAAGAAACTACTTTCTACTCTCTATGATAACTTAACTTTCTCATTTTATATCACTATTTTTGTATCACACCAATGATCTACCGAGAGTTTAAGTTGCTAACATTAAGCTGAAGCTTTTTTTTATCAAAGAGATATGAAATTACAGTATTCTACAGATTATAACACTGATAATCGTTATAAATCATACTGCTATAAAATTTTTTGGTGTTACATCTTCAGAATATGTTGAGGGACACAGAAGAGGGGTGAACTGCAAATTAAACAAAATCTATTCTATTTATACTTTGTACAAAATAACATCTCTTTTAGAAAATGCCTAGTCAAAACCAAGAATTTAACAGGCAAAAGAGGAAAGGACAGTGTGTTAATAACATATAAAAACAAGTTACAAAACAGTTGTCTGCCATGAGTTTCCAAGGTTATTTAGTGAGATGATCTAAAATCGATGCAATGAATAATTAAAAATGCTTTGGAGTTTTTTAAAGCTGTATCGAAACCCATCTAATGGCTCTTTTGGCAACAGTAAGTTTTATTTCTTAAGGAATGCTGTAAACCAAGTATAACTGTGGAAAAGCAAGTCCTTCCATATCTAAAGCAAGAACTGTTTTCCCTTCCTTGCCGGCAAGATCTATGAGGGCTATTTTCAGAAACCTTTGTAAAGAGGAATTGGCGAAAATGGCTTAGAAGTGTATTAAGAGGAGGGGGAAGCGCAGGAAACTGATCCCTTCTGTGTGCAAACCATGTTTTAGGTAAATGTCTGACAAAACGTATTTTATGTGGTAGAGATACCATGTTCGTCTGTCTTTATTTTTTCAGATGTTGAACGTAGGCGCATATACGACATTGTGAACGTCCTAGAGAGCCTACACATGGTGAGCCGCCTTGCCAAAAACAGATATGCTTGGCACGGGCGACATAATCTCTCCAAAACCCTGCAGGCTTTGAAAAAAGTTGGAGAAGAGAACAAATATACACAACAAATTCAGATGATCAAGAAAAGAGAGTATGAGCATGAATTTGATCTCGATGGTGAAAGCAATGAAGAAATGGCAAGATCTTTTGGCTCAAATGAGCATTCAGAAATGTCTTTTGTTGAGCTCCCAGGAATGGAATTTCGTGCTGGTAATAATTCTCTATAATGCCAAGAATAATACGTGCTTTAATGATAAGTATCTATGAACTTGCAAAAAACATTTATTGGACTTTTTTTTCTGAAATGCGACTGCCTGAAAGGCACCACAACTGTTTGTGGTGAGAAAAAGTCCTCTACGCTCTTTCAGTTCTCTTATTCGTACAATTCTTACACAAGTATTTTGTTTTTACAGTGCAAGAACAAGGGGGCATCGGCTGAAACTATCAAACATACCCGACATACAGTCCAACTGCAGGATCTGTTACCATTGAATGTTATAGAAGCTAAAAGTATAAATTACTCAATTTATTTTTTAATTTAGGTTTGATTCATGGAAGAAATGTTAATTAACGATTGTTGCATACATTGTATAACCTGCAGTTAAGCATCTTTAAGACTACAGGTTGTCAGACAGTAGGAAATGTATACAGGTGGAAACATCGCATTCTCTTCTTTGTAGTTAGACTTGGTATTCCCCTTATTATCTGATTCTTGCCATGTACAAACATAACTCTGGAGTCCACATCGGCCCTGCCTAGTTGCTGTGTTGTTTGTTCTTATAATAATTGTTACTAACGAATTTCTTCAGTGTTTTAAAAGTGTCTGTAGCTGGTGTGTCACTTAATACTTTAATCCTTTCTCCTGTCTGCTGCAGCATCAGTAAATAGCAGGAAAGACAAGTCTTTACGAGTGATGAGTCAGAAATTTGTGATGCTGTTTCTTGTATCGACTCCTCAAATAGTAAGCCTTGAAGTTGCTGCTAAAATCTTGATTGGAGAAGACCAGTTGGAAGACTTAGATAAAAGCAAGTTTAAAAGTAAGTAGAATATCAAGTGTAAGCTAAATGAACTATTCCAGTGCTAGTTTATACAGTGTAAAATACCACCATCTTTTTCCTGCCATAAATACATTTGAGCCTCCAAAAGCTCACTAAACACCTTGCAGAGTTTTTTAACAGAGACCCACTTGTGCATTGATACAGAATGACCACATAAAAGAAAAAGTCCATTAAATCCTCTCTCCTGAAGTAACGTCACAAGGCTGCTCATTGGTAACAATTTCCCTTTCTCTTTCCTCAAGCAGTCTGTCAAAGATTGCAGAATCATTTCATCAAAGATCCCCCAGAATCATGGAAATCTGTGCTCTGGTCATGTAACTTACTTGTTGGAAATCTAAATAAATTCTGTAGAAGTCCTGTTAATAACTTACACGTGAGAGGAAGTGAAACCCAATGCTGTAACTGTCAATTATTTCTTCATTCTTTTACCCTGTTTTCAGTTCCTTGCACACTTCCTCATCTCCCTCTCCAGTCAAGTGAAAAGGTACTTCTAGGTCTAGGCCTATGTGTCTATAATAATCAAAAATGTGCCTGCTCTTGAGGGGCCAAGAATTAATTGTGGGTTTCATTGAAAATGACACCCGTCCTTGATTCTCGGGCAGACTCCATTGCTTTTTTTTAAGGAATTGTATCTCTGCAAAAAGAAAACCGATCCTTGCTGGTTTCAGTTCATAATTGCTTTTCCACTGCTTCATGGCAACATAGAGAGAGTGGGTGGGTAGTCAGTAGGGGGTTTTTTTATTCGTTTTCATTCTTTCTTTTTCCTCTGTAATGTCTGTCTCGCAATAAAAGCATTTTCAGGGCATTCCATCCATGTGTCTGTATTTCAGGTATCACATGTTTTACCCTGTTCTTGGTTAAGAAGCATAGTCCCAAGTTCCATGACTTACTAGACTTTAAATTTTCAGTAGCAGAAGCATTGGCCTAACCACATTCACTTTGCAGTCCCGAAGTCACCGGTAATTTGACTGCTGCCTAAAACTTTTCCCTAATAGTTCAACCTGAAAACAGTTAAGAATACGCAGGATGATTATCCTGTTGGATTTTAGCGTGCCTCTTCCCCCTAGTTCCCATGTTCACCATTGCATGCATGTACCTGCCTTTTAAGCTACTTATTTTCACTCCAGAATTCGTATAGGTTTGGGCATTGCACAGAACCCAACTTGTTTTGAAAATTTTTTCTCTATATTTAGCATACTATACTTACTTAGCAGTATTTTCTCTTCTACATCTGTATCTATGTCATTCTATTTTACATATGAACTTTATATTGTGATGTGTTATTTCATAGTATAAATACCTGTTCCACAAAATTGTTCTAACAAAAAAATTATAACGGTTTTTCCTTTTAGCTGCTAAAAGGGCGTTACAACATTTTTAATCTGCTGTATGTTAACTTGTCGATCAGAATTGCTATACTTTACATTTGTTTATTTTATTTCAGCCAAAATTAGGAGACTTTATGACATAGCAAATGTTCTCAGTAGCCTTGAGCTTATCAAGAAAGTTCATGTTACAGAGGAGAGAGGTAGAAAACCAGCATTCAAATGGACAGGACCTGACGTCTTGCCAAGTGTTCAGGGTAGGTGTGTGCGTGTCATTTCCTTTTGTTCTGCTGATGATTTTGATTGATTGTTTTCTCCGCTAGATTTTTTTTTTTTTGACCAAAAGACAGTAAACTAAGCAGAAAATCTTTACTAGTCACATCACTGTCCTTAGTCCTTGACAGCATAGCACACCAGTGTGTATTTCCACGTAGTGGGTGTACTCATACTGAGACTCTTGCATTTCCATTTTTGCTGCTGCTAGTACTTCGATGATTATAAGCCAGGCTCAAATAACTGCTTTTAATTACTGAATCTGCACATGATATGTATTTACTCTTTCGGTTTTTTTCTGCTTTTTAGATACAAAACTTGAAACAACTTCTACGAGCTGTCCCCCACCTATTTTGGAATCCATCCCTTCCAAAGAGCAGTGTTCAAAAAACCTTTTTCCTTCAAGAGGAAAGCAAAACTTCACTCGGCATCCTTCTCTAATAAAGTTAGTTAAAACTATAGAAAACGACAGAAGAAAGATCCAATCTGCTCCAACCAGTCCAGTTAAAATGAGTGCAAGTAAGTAGCTGAAAAATACATTTCTCTATCTTTTTCTAAGTATGTTTTTTAACTCAGCTGTAGTCTTACATTAAATATTCAGGCTTGCCATCTCCTCATAGGAGATGCAGGTGGGTAGATATGCCTTCTTAAGACGTGTTTGTTGTAAGAAATGTCAAAAATAGACAAGATGGGGAAAATATATGTTGCCTGTAAATCTGAGGCCTTACAAGACTGCTCACTGCGTAAGCTCTGCAATTACTAGAAGCTCTTTCCAGTTTGGTGGACCAAATCCAGTCACAGCTTGTGCAGTTGCAACAAAATAAATATATTCATTGAGATCTGGACCAAATTTGGCACACTGTAGGGAACTCTAGCCTCCTCTTTCACACCAAATACCCAAGGAGTGGCATATTACTGCTTGGGGTTCAAGAAGAATATTATATTGCTTTTTACATATCACCATCTTGACTTTGTGCGATGTCTTACCGGCTACAAACTTGTTTGTGTAGTATAGCTGATTCTCTGGATATCGTATCTTTCTCTGTGAACTGCCCTAACCCTGGTTTGTTGTGGCAGCTGCTTTAGATTTCACTATCTAAGCAGTTCTGTATTCTGTAAAATTGCCAGACAATTACCTATCAGTGTTCGTGTTCTTGTTAGGTAGCCTCTTTGGAGGGAAAAAAAAAAAAAAGGAGCTGAGGCTTTAAAGTTTTTTTGATGGAAGCTATCATCCAATTGATGAAATCAAGTCTGGGCTGCAGTTTGAGGATAACGTGGAGTCTTAGTGTGTTCTCATTAAATGTGTATGCCACATAAAGTAACACAGTCTCCTCAAGACAAAATTTAACTTCTGTGTTTGATGTACTAACAGTTTTGTTTTCCCCCTCCAACCAGGTACTGATCAAAATTTATCAGCTCTCCCAAGTAAAATGGCTCAGGTTCCAGCAATTGCTAAACATCAGCTGGAAGGACAATCAAAGTAAGTTTGCACAAGTGTTAAGGTGAGAAGCTTTATTTTGTCACTGGCCATTAAGTTAAAGCTATGCTCAGTTTGAGTTGGGCAATAGTCTGCCAAGAACGGTAACCCCTGATACTGCAGGCTATTTTTTTCACTTGTTTTCTGCTCAGTGGATTGAGAAGTACAAGCTTACGTTAAGTCTTTGCATTGCAGAAAATAATTTGTCGGGGCATTCGTTTCTGCACAAAGGAATTAAAATGTGTTTGGGTTTTTGTTTTTGTTTGTTTTGCGTTTGTTTTTTTTTTAAGGAAAGCAAAAGAGTTGAAATTGTCAAGATCTGCTTTGGAATCTAATCAGTCATCGCCTGAGGTAGTCCCCAAGCCCGAACCTCCTTGCGTCGCAGCACCCTCCCAGCAGCCAGCTCTTGCACAGCCACCGGCTGTCTGTCCTCCAAGCCACAGTTCAGTCTCACCAGTAATACTACCTCATACTCCTGCTGGTGTTTCGTATGCAATATATCTGCATCCATCCCAAGCCCACACTGTGACAACATATAGCCCAAGTTTCATGTTGCAGCCTCTACCATGTGCTAATGTAACTGGAATTAAGAGTATTAATTCAAAAGTATTAAATAAAACAACCACTGAGGAAGGGGACAATCCGGTGACTACAGATGATCCAACAAAATCCTTGACAGCTAAAGAAGGACCGCCTATAAAATCAGAAACTTCATCACACAGGTGCCTTAAAAGATCACAAGCATTACAAGAGAATAATTTGATTAAAAAGTGTAGAAGTGATGAGGAAAGCCTTGATACTTCTTTGGTAAGTTAAATTATTTTTCAAGTGCCATTTTATAGCTTAGTGATGTTGCTACCTACTCATTTTCAAAGTGGTTTAGGAGCCTACCAGATGTTGTCAAATTTGTAAATGAATTGTAAGGAAGCCTGCCAGGGGAGTAATCTTGTAAACACTTAAGCCTTTAGCTTACTCTAAGAGCGTCTGTACTGCAGACTTGCAGAACCTTTGCTGTATGAAACAGTAGCCATGTTGGCGTTTAGAAGACCAGATCTTGTGTTCTTCTTCGTACCCCCCCTTCTGGAAGGTAAGAAGACAGTTAAAAGACAAAATTGAAGTTGTCTGCCGTTCCTTGCTAAACAAGTGCGCTTAGGTGTTTTAAATAACATTACACTTGAAGGGATGATGTTCATTTGTTGCCCTTGCTAATGTATGGGGGGGGGGGTTTTTTTTTTTTATATATATCAAATATCACATAATCTTGCTGGTATTTGCAAAGCATCAGGCAGGATATACAGTATACAATATAACATATATTCTTGAAAAACCAACCTAGGATCAAGGCTGTATTTTTCTCCTTGTTCCCCTCCCTTCCCCCTCCAAATATTTATTTCCCAGAAGATGTGTCAGAGTGTACAGGTGGGAGTTATTTTATTTTGACTAATAAAACATTATGTCAATACTTACCTATTTATACAATGATTCTGGAGTAGTTCAGGTTGCTCATCTTTACACAATGGCTGGCATTCATTCTTGGGTTTTAGAGGTGTTAGGAGGGAAAGTGGACACATAAAAGTTGCTGGACAGGGCATGTCCCAAAATCCAATTTCTATCCAATGTTGTACATTGTTAACATTGGATCATTGTAGGTGTAATAATACAGCACACGAAGAGAGTAAGAGGTTCAGATACACTTGATGCGTATGGAGAAACTGGGTCTGGATTGCTTTCTGCTCCTCGGTTGCTGCACATTTTAGTGTCTCTGTGAATTACTAGGCTGCTTTAAATTGTGCTTGCCAAAACGGTCATGAAATGTTATCGGCGTTTTGTGACAATGTGTGGCGTCAAACATCCACTAGCTGTGAAGGAGCAAGAGGGGATAACATGGAACTGGTTGTCTCAGTACCTAGGAATTTTTATAGCACAAACTTGAGAATCAGGAGAAAGGAGAAAGCTTGCTTTCCTAATTTTTAAAGTGTATAAATATCATTGTAGATCTGTAATTGAGAATGTGAAGTCTTACGATGCCTGCCTTTGTTTTTGTATGTACTTTTTTAAAGGGAGGATCCCCGAAAAATGAAAGACCACCTTCCAGTAGCTCACAAATGAATCACGAAACGGACAATTTCCAGGAAGAGAGACAGAACAAAACTGAAACATTAGATCAAAACATGGCAAGTTGCTATGACCAAAGTAAAAGAGACCATGTTCCAGAAGATGAGGACAAAATCAAAACTAAACAAGACATACCTGTAGCATTTGCCATTCCTGCTCACGAGGTAAGCTTTGTCAGACACCACAGCATGTCTTGCCCTTACCTGGGAAAACACCGCGGTGGAGTCTTTGCAAAAGAAACAAAACTATAATGAACTACACATATATAGGTTGTCTTTGGTTGGATTATTTTTAGTATGCTTTTAAAACCTTATTTTTTAGGAATGTAGGACTTCCTTAAGTACACAAATAAGAGGACATGAAGTGACTTTCAGGCTTCGATTGGGATGAAGATCACAACTAGGACTAAGTAGATGAAGGCAACGTTGAGATCCCATACCTCCCCAGTCCTTTGTGCATATTTAGTCTCAGATACTTTGATTTACAACAGAATAACACGAAACTCTCTTCATCAGTAAAATCTGGTATTACTGCAGTTAAGACTTACTACTGTAGAGAACCTGAATAAAAAACAGTTCTGTTGACAAAAACAGAACTTGTAAATGCAAAAGGATTTCCTTCCAATATTTGTCTTATGAAAACACAGTCCAGGAATGAGGTGACATGATGATTACCGGGTCTGGATGTTTCTTCTGGGCGGGAAAAGAAAAGTATTCAGTATCACGATTTCTCTGTTGTCTAGTCTAGCTGCACTGTGTTAATCCCAGGTGGATTTCCAGTTCCTCACTGAGGATATCCGCTGGAAATGGAGCCAGCTGACTTCCGCACAGTAGGGCAGTCTTACTTTAAAGAGTGTGTCCTTGAGTCCGTTGGGTCCAATTCTAGACAGAAGGTGGTACAGACATGGAATATAGGATCGTAGGGATACAGAGGATAAGGAATAAGAACGAGGCAAGGGGGATGCAACTTTGGAGAAAAACTTCATTTTTTGTTTATTATGTGCTTGGGGAAAAGGTGTATTGTCTTTTTTCTTTTTCAGACTTTTTTTCCATCTGGTTATCTTATTCCTCTTACTCAGTGCACCCATGGCAACAAAGCAGGGTTTTCTAATAAAGAGAAAGCTGGGATATGTTCATTACAGCACACTACCTACAGCTCACCTGTTGCTGGTGAGTATTAAATAAAATAGGCATACAGTTGTCCTACTGAGGTAATGAAATCACAACGCAACGGCTTGAGTCTCAATTTTTAATCCCCTTCATCAGTTGATTTGTCTGTTGCAGGTGTTATTCCAGTGACAGCATCTGAACTGAAAGCAGTTAACATTCCTGCTTTTCAAATAACACCCTTGAATATAATGCTGTCACCAACTTCTATAGCCGCTGCACCTGTACTGAGCAACTCCTGTCTCAATTCAAGCAATACTAGTTCTGCCCAAAATCCAAGTTCTTCAGTTCTGAACTTTACACTGCAACACATAGGACTAATACCTGCTGGTGTGCAAGTTCCTGCAAATCCTGTTCTTCAGCACATGCCAGTCTCTTTACAACCAGAAAATGTTAGCTATAGCTCAGAAAACATGAACTTGCAAGAAGAGAAGGTAAGTAAAAATATATTGCAACTTTTTGACCGTGATGGGTTGAGTGAAAAGTATAGCGCAGTAATTCCTTTACAGCGGATAGAATTTTTAAAGAAAGATTTATTTTTTTTTTTATCTTTATAAATCAGCACTGCCCACAAAGAGCTGGCAGTGAAGGCTAGCATAAGTACAATATAATTGAGAAGTTGGAAAGGAAGAACAATTATCTTATCTGTTGTGGAAGTGGAGCCAGCTGGAAGATGACAAGATGTGAAGAGACAAGTGGTTTAGAGGGAGGATTTTGCACAGATCTGAGATGACTTTTATTAACAAATTATCTGTTTGTTACTTTATCTTTCCTTCTTGTTACTCTCCTAATCTAAAATTCTTGCACTTAATGTTAGCTTTTTTTAATAGGATGAGATTGTAGAGGATTTTTAAAGAGTATTTTTTTCCCCACAGGAAGTTTCTCTGTATATTTTGTGTAATACTGTACTGCCTAAGATCAGTTTCTGTTAAATAAGGAGATAGGAGGTAATTAAAGAAACCAGATTTTTGTTTAATTAATTTTTTATACATATATATTTATAGCTATATCAAGGAATACAGGTGTATTCTTCTCAGTAAAGAGTTGTTGAGTTTTTAAATTTCAGGAGAAAACAGTATTTTGCTAACATCCTGCAGAAACCTAAAACTAGAATTCGCGTTTTTTTTTTTCTTCCCCTTAAATGAAAGTAACTTTCCCTCTTCTCTTTAGCCTTCTGTTCCAAAGGAACTCCAGGAGCCCCAGACAGTTACAGAAAACTTTTTCCGCACACCAGGAGGGCCTAACACAGTATCTTCGCTATCTGCAAATTCAGATGGTACCGACAGAATCTCTCAAGGAACTCTGTATATTCCTCAACGCAAACTTGAAGTGTCAGAAGACTAATTTAGGGATATCAAATTGCTGAATGTGTTAGCAGGCATAATTACTGGTAACACACTGCACACATCTTGGATTGTATGATGGACAATGTGTGTTTTGGACATGTATTGGCAAGACCTCAATACTGGAATAGCCTTAATTAATGCTTTAGAAATAAACCTGGCTCTTAATGAGAAAGTTAACGTCTAATAATATTTTTCCAAAAGGTTTACCTGAAGTATTATAGCAACAAAGTTATGTATCTAGTGTTTTTTGTGTTGCTTTTCTGCTATGCAAAGTAAGCTGAAATTATCTTTGTACAGAAAGGTACAGTCTATCAGTCAGTACAAATTTTGCACAAAGTACTGTGAGTGTGTACATATTTTATGTCTTAACAAAAAGGCCACAGTTAAAGTGTCTTGCTCCTATGTTCAATAATGCTCTTTTGTAAAGTTAGTTAAAAAAAATAAAACAACAAAAAATGAATTCTTAATCAAGTTTTATATAAGTTAAGAATTATTTATACTGTATTTTTAAATCAATTTGTTCAGATTAAACTTACATCAAACTCACATTTTGACTTTGTTTGATCAAATTAAATCAGCTAAGTAATACATTGTATATTCACTGGCATCTCTTCATTCTTATACTTGTCAGACAGGGGTGTCTGTCTTCAGAATAAAGGGAAAATGTTATTTCATGAGAAAGGGATTTAAGCAACTCGATCTAACTTCTGAACTCTTATCACTAGAGATTACATCTCCTAATAACAACAATTAGAGGAAAACACAGTTACAAAGTTTGGAATTCAGAGTATCTTTATCACCCTGGAGCATTCTGGAAAGTGCTGTCCAGATATCGCCAAGGAGAAGTTACATGGTTTGGGCCTCGAACTGAACAGACAATCTTGGTAAGAGTTGAAGATGAGCACTCATTACTTTGCCTCTCTTCTCCTATTCAACTCAGAGTTTGAGCCAGGTGCCTGCTATGCTATACATACTCTATAGGCTCTCTTGACACTGGAGAGGTTTCAAGCCTGAGAGAAGGTTTTTATAACATTTCACCTAAGGTTTTGTAACCATCTAAACCAGTCTGTGGCAGAAATCACGCGTGCAGTTACTGAAGCGCTAGCTGTTGACCGCTGCAAACAGCGTAGGGTCTGGCTTCGAGAAGGAGGGAGCCCCATGTCTCCTGGGCGTACCTACACCACACAGAGGCTGTACTGTTAGTTTCTGCTTTCTAGCAAAGATCAGCGTCGCCTTCCAACTGTTGTTTTTCCCTTCTTGCAATTGCATATCAAACAGGTTAAGTTAAACCAACTGAATTTAAATACGTACAGCAGAGTCACTGCTACGCTAAACAGAGAAAGATGAAGCCTCCTCATACAGCTCACACTCAGATGACAGGGAATAACTAACAAATTAAAGAAGGAAAACACAGTGTATCATCTGCCTTCCCAGGTGAAATGTGCCTGGCTGCCCAAATTAGGACAGGAGAACTGCTAGCAAAGCCCAAAATTCAGGCTTGGGCTGGATAAAAAAACCAGTTAGAACAGCTAACACAGTAAAACCAACTGCCTTGCTCTTTAATAATGCAAAATTTTAATATAAACTACACATGACAGAATATGATCACTACTGAAATACTCCTGCATGAGAAAGAGAGGAGAATAAAAGCTGGAAAATGGAGGAATTCTCACTGCAGCAGTGAGTAGATTTTTTTTTTTTTTCCTTCTCCAAAGTGGTAATTGATCAATGTTCCTTACACATGCTATCAATTTAATTCTAGAAGTATAAAGACAAAGACTTAGAGAAACTTGCGTTACTCAAAGGAAACAAACTACAAACCTTTCATTCTTGGACACCGCAGCTGACGGAATAAGAAACTACAGTAATTAGGCTTGGAGAAATGGTCTTCTCACAAACGGTGCTCTGTTCTGAAAAGTTGAACATATATTCTGACTTGCTGCCTAGTGTCCCTTGGCTCCTGTCAGAACACAGTTGCTTGTTTTTTCACGCAGGCTTTATAACACCTAGCGCTTTAACTTGTTCATTTTGCAGGCTGAGAAGCTACCGCTTTCTCTGCTCAAAGTACCCTATTCCCCAGAAGACTTGCATTTTGCTCCGACTAGCTGAGCTCACTGCTCTTCCCACCTGCATCACCCACCCTCGAGCGTGACCCGAGTACCCGATGTGCTCTGCTGCCAAGCTCTAGGGAAGTCCCTCTGATCCTCAGGCTCGCTTCGCTTTTGATATGCTGCGTTCCAGTCCTTAAAGCAGGGTTTTTTAATCCCTACCTTTGATTTACAGAAAACACTACCTTCCCGCTCCACCAGGAATATAAAAATTCATCCATGTGTATGTTCAGCTGCATATTTTGAGTCTGTTCTTCCAGTCTCAGGTCCCGATAACCACAGTGGACCAGGGATTATATGAAATGCCAACTAATCCACAGGGGTCTGACTGCTCCTTTGAGCTGGAAAGAGCCTCTCAACCAGACTTGCTTCCTTACGGGAGCACACAGTATCCGGGGTAGCACAGACGTACAGAAATGAAACAACACCCAATACCAGGAAACTGAAGGTTGTTCCCTGCCTTTTCCCCTTAAATTCTCTGACAAACCTAAAGGGAAAATACTTACCGACATTTTGGGGTACTCTCTCCACAGATTTCCCTGCAGTTGGTTACCGTGCAAATCCACCCAAGTACATGATCTACATGATGCGAGTGAGGATCAGTGAAGAAGATTCAGTTCCCTCAAATGGCAAGGGTCCTAACTTAGAAATCACCGAGGCTGCAAACACAAAGCGGTTACAAGCTGCTTAACGCTTTCCCTGTACTCCAACAGCAAGCTCAGTCCTGCCCCAACCCCTCCTCGCTGCCATCGTACAAGAAACTTTCATACCGCATACACTGCTCCGTCACCTCTGCATTTAGCCTTATCTGAGATAGGCAGAAGAGTTCCCTTAACTATCCAGGGAGAATGACCAAGGAGAGATGGAGTCCAGCTCTCCTGCTCAGGGAAAAACAGTCCTCCAACTTGACAACAAGAACCTGTCTCTGCATTATAAAATTTTTGCTGGACTCAACAGTCAATGATCTATAGGCTCCCAAGAGTTTTCAAAGTAGCCTCAGTGAACAGACCCCTAAAATCCTGACGTGGATTTGGCAGCTAATTTCCTTACGCTCCCATGGAAGCCCCAGGGTTCAGACTCTCAGCTTCAGACTCCTGGTGTTTAACCCCCCAGGCTGTAAGGGCTTGGCCCCTTCACGCACAGCTAAGTCCATGATACTGAACAAAGTTGCTGAAGTCCCTTTAGAAAATGAGACTTAGCTTCTAAATCTTTAAAGCACAGAAAATAAAACCTTGTAAAAAGTGAACTTTAAGTGCTTCGTACTTTATTGTCCACATCTCTAACATGTCTGCAGCATCATCCTTTTCCAAGGTAGGCATGGCAAATGCAGATACAATGATCAGACACACTAAACATTATACATATTAACTAGTCATCTTAATGCCTAAAACCAGTAAAAATTTAAATATTAGAGTGAGAAGCGTAATCCTCCATTCCCTAAAAGACAAACCAGTTGTATCTATCAAATCATGAACTGCAGAGTGAAATTCTATTTGGTTTGCAACTGTTGAGTTCCGGAGGTTCCTACAAATAGGTTTGTTTGGGTTTTTTTTTAATAATTATTTTGGTAAATTACTTTTGGCAATGTAATTATTTATGACTAAATCCTCATTTCAGGAGCTGTTATTTTATGATTCACATTCAAGCAATGCAGTAGCAACTATAAAACTTTAATCTTTATTTCTGATCTATTAGACGGCAGTTAGGAATGCCCTCTAGGTGTAATCTGAGGGGCTGCATTGTTGTCCACCTACTCACAAGTGGACATAAGGGGACAAAATGCCAGGCTTTTGTCAGAGGTTATTTTCAGCTTGGCGATAGCAATGGCATTGCTCAGATCCCTGAAACTCTCTCTCATGCCCCTCCCCTCCCAGCTTATAGGGCTGACAGCGGTGGCCACTGCATTTAAAAGAGCGCAGGAATCCCTCGCGTTCGAACCCTTCGAGGCCCAACAAGACAGGGAGAAACATTCAGCGACTCCGGTAAGTACAGCATATCGGGTTTTGCCAAGACTCTGATATAAGGGTTTGGGTTTTTTTGTTTTTGTTTTCCCTAACAGGTGGTAGAAACAGCTTGTTGCTTGACAAAGAAATAGATGTAGGTATAGTACAGAAATGCAAGTCCTATGGAGCTGAGAGCAGTACTTTAGGTTTGGAGTAGCCAGCTGGTAAGAGAAATTCTTCTGGGCTTCTCAGCCTGTTCAGTAGCTACTAGTGTTACAAGAACGGGGCTGTGGGCATCCTCGTTAATGAGATACACATTTTGACTACAGGATAGACTGGATAAGAGAAGTTTCAGAAACTTTAAAAAATTTTGTTGGAAAGCTACAGAATTATGTTTTCCACAAATAATTTGTCTTTGTACATGTACTTTTTAAAGCATACAAATTTACATGCTTTCAAAATTTTGCAGAGAAAAGTATTCTAGAAGTAAAAAAAACCAGAACAACAACCAAACAAACAAAAACCCCAAACCCTGAAAATATTTAATGTCAGTGACCAATTGGGTTTGCATCAAATGAGAAGAAAACTTCCATGCAGACTCAACAGAAAACGGCTAGGTAAGAATGCAGGATCAAAGAATACACACGTCCATCATGCAAGCATTAGAAGACAGCACGGTTGGTCAAGTCTTTAGAAAAGCACCAACAGTTATAAAAAAAAAAAAATTTACTTTTAAAAGTTTTCTACCTAAAGATAAAATTATTTCAAAGAATAAAGCCTTGTATGTAGATAAAATAATTCTGTGTCTGATCTCAATCATCATGGCACCGTTTCACAGTCCTTAACAGTTTTGCTTGGCACTTAAAAGACTTAGTGCACGGATAAGGATTTAGAGAAGGATCTTGTGGGAGGAGAAGTGAAAGTTGATAGCCCAGGATTAGGGCTGG